TTACTTAATCACTCTATTCTTAAAAGAAAATACTTTTAAGAATAATAGAATGATAAATTAAAAGAAATTTCGAATGCATAATTACTTAATTTTGGTAAAAAAGGAAGGGACTAATTTTGCAAACAAGATCTACGTTGTTTCCTTTTTAGAATAATTTTGCATGCATAATTAATTAATTACTCTATTCTTATTTAGAATGATAAATTAAAGAAAATTTTGCATGCCTAATATATTTCTAAAAAGGAAAAAAATATAAAAAATATTATTTATATAAACTTCTTTTATACTACCAAACTTTTTTATTAAATTCTAATTGATATAATAATAAAAATGATTACCATTCAACTAAAAATAATATTTGTCCATAAAAGGTAATAATCACGTTAAGTTGTAAATTTTTTAATTAATGCATTAAATTTACAGTTTCATAATTTATGTAATTTTCAATTAAGAAACAAACTATTTTAATCATACAAACCATTCGTTTCCTTTTCGGAAAGAAATCAAATCTAAAAGAAATGTCAAAGTAATACATAGAAATGGTGGTACATATAGTAAGTGTTGAATAAATAAATGATAGTTAAATAATAAATCACCGTGTAATAAGAATAGAACATGTATTACCGTGTAACAAGAATAATAATATTAATATATCGTGTAATAATATTACCGTATTTAATCATTATTAATTTATTACCATGTAAGAAGAATGATAATAATATACTGTGTAATAAGATTACCGTACTTAGTCATTATTATCGTCTAATAATTATAATCTAAGAAGCTTTCAATTTAAAAATATTTCCATTTAGAGAACATGGCCAAACTTAATATTACCATATTTAATCATTATTAATTTATTAAAGTGTGATTATGTTAAGAAAATAAGCTTTCAATTTAATTATGTTTCCATTTAGAGATTCGGTGCCAAATATTTTATAAATAATTTTAAATATATAAGTTTATGCATTTAATTAGGAAGGCACAATTAAAAAATCAAAATAAAAAATAATAAAAGAAATTAAATATAAAAATATGTCAAAGTAATACATAGAAATGGTGGCACATACATAAATATGTTAAGTGTTGAATATAGAAATAATAACTAAATCATAAATTACTTTGTAGCAAGAATAAATCATGTATTACCGTGTAGAAAAAATAATAATACAAATATACCGTGCAATAATATTAATGTATTTAACGATTATTAATTTATTGTCGTGAAAGAATAATAATAATAATATATCGTGTAATAATATTATCGTACTTAGTTATTATTATCGTGTAATAATTCTAACCAATAAGCTTTCAATTTAATAATGTTTCCATTTAGAGATTCAGGCCCAAATGTTTTATGGAGACATCTTTTTAAGAGGTGTGCCTTTAATACATGGAAACGTATTGAATAATATATACCTTTATATGTTGAACAATCAACCTTTGATTAATAACTTACCCGGAAAAAATTAGATGCATGGAAATAGAAAAATACTTTAATTTTTTTCATACTTTAAATGCAGTCATTCTCAATCACTAAAGAAGTCTTTAAATAAATAAATGTTTTAAAAGTTTAATATATAAAAAGTTTGATATATAAAAATTATACGAGTAATGTAGAAAATCATGAAGAAGTCTTTAAATAAATAAGTATTTTAAAAGTTTGATATATAAAAATTACTACGAGTAATATCGTTTATAAAGAATTCTTTCGTTATTTGTAAAACAATTAATTTATGTACCTTAAAATAATAAAATCTTTATATTCTACTTCCTCCGTCTCAAAAGAAGTTCCCTTATTGATTTTTTGTAAAATTAAGGGAGGGATATTTGGTGTTGACTTTCCAAAAATACCCTTGATGTGATTGATAAAAGTAAGATGTGATAGATAGATTATTAGTAAAAAGATATGATGTGATAGGTAAAGTATGAAAAAGTATGAGATAAAAGTAATTTTTTAATAGAAAAAGGAAGGAGTTTGTGGGACAAAGAAAAAATGAAAGGGGGAGATGTTTCAGGGACAAAGGGAGTATTAGATAAGAAATTATATCCTTCAAAAATGATCTTAATTTAGTAATATAAGTATGACCCGTGCAACGCACGGGAGTGATGCTAGTTTTACGTAAAATGAAGTAGAATCTCAAGTTTTTTAAATTTATTTTATTTAAACTTTGATATAATAAAGTAAAAAATAAAACTTTCACATTCAAAAAGTATATCATAAATTCTACTCCCTCTGTCCCAATTTAAATTGCCTATTTGCCTTTTTTTCTCCGTCCCAAAATAAGTTGCCTGTTAGTTGTTATCGTAAATTTTTAAAAATAAAATACCTAAGCTACCCCTAAAATAAGTCACCCTTCTTCACATTATCTTCTAATTCATAGTCACCCCTTCTAAAAAGTAATGACAATTTCGAAAAATCAATTCTATTTTTTCTTTTCCTTAAATATGCCCAAAAGTCAAAACAAGCGATTTAAAACGGGACGGAGGGAGTACAAAACATGAGATGATAAAAATATTTTATTTCATCAAGTAATCAATAAAAATAAACAAATAAACAAAAGTTCTTGTAATTTTTTAACCATATGAAGAGTGAAAAACATTATGAGAGAGGGAGAGTGTTTATTTATGTCTATCTAGTCACCCACCCTTAATTTAGTACTCTCTCATTCAAGTTAAATTGCACTTTTACTACACCTTTCACCTCCATAGAACTTTTTATCACGCGTTACGAAACTTAATACTCTTCTCGTCTTCAATTTGATTACAAATTGAGGTTTACGAGGAGAAATATCTCACTTTTTGAAATCAATTTATTTACAAATTGGTATATCGATAAAGAAATAAAAATTACATATTGAAAAACTACGTCAAAAGTTTTACAAAACAAGAGGTGACAAAAATATTTTAGTTTATCAAATATTTAATTAAATCATGTAAACAAACAAAAGTTATCGAGAGGAGAGAGAAAAAAAAATTGTAATCAAATTGG